CTGCGGCAAGTTCCCCTCCGACCACGAGCTCTGCATTGCCGTCCAGTTCGGGAACAGCAAGGCCACCCCGCCGCCAGGTAAGCAAGAAGGGCATTGTGATGGGATGGGGACGCATGCAGGGCACTTGCCATCAGCGTGTCCCCATGCAGCTGGGGACCCACATGCAGGGTCTCCCTGTGGAGCCCCTGCACCCCTCGAAGCAGAGCCCGGGGTGCTGGCCAAGGACCCTCTGTCTGCAGCAGGGCACGAGTGGTCACAGTACCAGCAGCGTGAGCTGGGCACCGCTGCCTGCCCAGGAGAGCCAGGTACCCTGGCCCCAGGGAAGCCGAGCACCCAGCTGCCTGCACAGAGCTGCCCCAGGGCAGGGGAGAGCAGAGCAGCCATGGGAGCAGCACTGGGGGTGAACATGGGATGAGGTGGGAGTCACTGGGAGACCCACCACAGAGCTGTGTCCCTCTCCTCCCACCACATCCCATCCCAACAGCAAAGAGCATCATGCACCTGTGGGTCTCAGCCCCACACCCCTGCCACAGGGTAGCTGTCCCCTTAGGTCACCCTGAGGGTTCATCACCCAAAGGCAGCCCAGTGTCAGGAGCAGGGCTGTGACACCCTTCAGGCTGTGGCCACCCTTGCTGCTGCTGTGCCTGAAAGTGTCAGCAGCTGGATGAAGGGTGTCCCCATACCCCGTCCCCTCTGGGGAGATGTGCTGGGATGCTGGCCAGCGTGGTGCTCTGTACCCCTGCACCACCTCAGCACAGCTGCCCAGAGAGCAGAGGAGCTGCTGGGGCTCTCCCAACACGCCCCTGCGGAGCTGGCCTGGGTGACAGGTGACAGGGAGCTGTGACAGGGGCTGGTCTCTCACCACAGTGTCCAAGATCTGTACCCAGTGCGAGATGGAACACAAGGCGGATGGCATGATGGAGCAGATGTGCTCCAGTGACTTCGGTGAGTGCAGGGGTCCACCTCCTGTCCCCCCAGGCTGCCTCCCCCAGCTCTGACAGCCCAGGTGGGGGTTGGCTAGAGGGCACGGTTGTACAGGGACAGCCCCATGGGAGACCC